ACATCCGATTAAAGAAATCACATGAAAGGGAGTCGCCCTGTCTGAAATCCCATTTAGTAGCGCTTTCCCAAGTCTGAAGGAGACACACTAACAAGGCCCAATCAGTTCGTTGACAGTGGAATTAAGTCTTTCACACAATGCACCAGATAAGACCTTGTTAGAATGCTAATCCCGCCGTAGTTGGCGGAGGAACATCGACTCGATCATCAACGACTGGGGGCTCGGGTTCATCTTCCCCTAAGCATTCAGTACTGCTACCATTCTGTAGCGTAGGAAAGTTGTTCTCTCCAAAATTTAAGTACGTTCTGGACATCACTAACTAGGTTGCCATTGTTGTTCTTACAAGAGCTCGCCCTGGTTTTGAAATCTTCCGGTTATTAGGATAACCAAAAACTGAACTACTTGAACCGAACTCCATCAGAGTTCAGAGATACTCATGAACCGTTTGATGTACCGGTACAAGTTTTTTTTAAATGTTTCGAACAACTAAACCGAATTGTATCGATTTTTGGAGCGGTTTGCAGACTTTCCACATTAATATCTAACATAATTTAGTCGTCCGATGTTAATTTTGAAAAAATTTCATGTTTTCGAAATCGTTTTGAAAAATAATCGTAACAATCGCCATATAAAGTGTGTGATGGACAGCTAGCATTCTCAATGAAGCCCATAGTACGAGTCAGTGACTTTTTGAATTTCCCGCTCAGTAAGTTTAAATTCAATCCTGCTAAGCCACAGTGGGTCTGTCCGCCAATATGGTCATGGCCACAGTCAATTACCTTCAAGCGCGCAAAACGATCTCTGGCTAGTACTGTTCAAAGGTTCTGGACAGATTCGATATTAATTTGGAGCATAAACGACCACATTTGGACAAGAAAATAGTGCTGTTCTATCAAGACAATGTACGGATGCACTATAATCACCATAAAAAAATCCCTCAATTGCGCAACGAAATCCTATCCCATCCACCATATCCACGAGGTTTAGCCCCCATCGACTATTTTCTGTCTCCAAACCCAAAAAAATGGCTAAGCGGTCAGGGATTTGGGTCCAATGAAAAGATCATTACTGAAATAAGCGCTTGTTTTGAGGATCTTGAAAAACTTATTATTTATTTGGAAGAAATTAAAAAACTGGAATAACGCTGGAGTAAATGTGTCGAGCTAAAAGGAGACTTGTTGAGAAATAAAACACTTGCCGAAAAATATATACTTTATTCAAAAAGTTGCTGAATTCCCTCGTATTTAATTATAAATTTATTATTATTAGCTCTGATCCAGTACTCCATGCACTTACAGGTTTTTACACGAACTTGCAGGAAGTTACAGGAAAAATGTTCCCTTACTCCAAAATCCTGTAAATTTGAGCGATTTTTCGAGAGTTGTGTAGAGAATGAAGTTGCAAGATTTCACCTGAACTATTTCTTCTGGTAAAATCATGAAAAGTATCAAGCGATAAGCTGTTTGACGTTTCTACAGGAAAATGCTTTTCTTGCATTCACTTCACATTCACAGAGAGTAATTTAGTTGTTTGGCATTTTTACAGGATTTTACACGAAAACTATTGGATCAGAGCTATTATCGAAAAGTGCTTTTGATTTGCAATTTTGTAACCATATTCACAAAAAGATTACCAAGTGTGACCAAAAAATAAAAAAAAATAAAAAATTAGGCATACAAGACATCGTTGACGTAAGCTTATTTGTACATACATATATGTAGATGTACTTACGATAAACCTACATTGGTTTGTTGAATCATGTCAAACGGCTTACCTTGCTCGCAAAGGTTTATGTTCAAGGGTAATAGGATTACATTACAGCTACAATTGAAGTGTGTGTCTCTTTCGTACTGAGATTAAAGTGCGCCATTGTATACGAAACAAGGAATGAAAAGCAAAAATAAACAATCAAAGCTTATATTAAATATCAACAACTGACATTTAGTTAAAAAAAGTTGAAAAGATATCAAGCAAAAAGCTAACAGAATTCGAACAAATCGATGTTATGTTAACAAATTGGTCTTTTAGTTATTTATTTTTCCCTGATACCATTTCGTTTAAGTAGAATTTGCTTGTATGTACCTAAGCCAATTTTATCGCTTACAAAATATTTGTTAATAACTTAATAGGATTAAAATAAAAATTATTTGGTCACATTTCAGATAAGAACATACAGATACATACATAAATATATGTGTACATACATGCTGTTGCACCCAATATTTGCACAGACCTTTGGCATAGTCTTAAAGCAAAATAAATATAAGACGGATGTTGTCAATCAAGAGGACGTGGACAGTTGAGCGCTTGCGAACAATTTAACTCTTTAGTTATGTATTTTTAAATTATTTTTGTGTTAAAAATATTTTCTCCGGCTCTTAGAGCTGATGGAAAACAGTTTTTATTCTTATTTTCGAAGGGCTGAAAAGAATCAATAACTAGCAGACTCGGCGAACTTTGCCCCGCCCAAACTTAATTTTTTTATTCAAACATTTTGGTCCAAGATTTTCACCAACGATTCACATTCACTATTTCCGGTGGCTCATTTGTCTGCTAATATTACTGTCTAACGAAATTGTATGTATGTCCATCAAGAAGTTCTTGAAATTCTTCAAAGATATATCTGTGGTCATTTGGGATTGACCCCTGAACAACGCATAGTAATATTGGAAAATCACGCCCATTGGGCCAATTAGAAAACACGGGAGTTCGGCATACTCGGTGGTTCAGCATGTCGATGTAATTGGACATTCAAGACACATTTTTTTACTTGACAATTTTTAGTAATAACTCGAGTATCGAGCCACTTGGCGGATCAGATCATAAACGAGATTTTTAGTAAAAACTCGACTCCAGCGTCACCTAGCGGGTCAAACTGTGAATCTAAACTATACAGAGGCCCAACCAAACACACACAAAGAGTTCGTTAAAATCGGTTCACTCACAAATACACTTACAGAAAAAGTATTTTATATACATACATAAAAAGATAGGTAAACGTCTGAGTATGTTTGGAAGGTGCCACGCCCTTTTAAAATAGCCCCCATTTTCTCTACGAGTATGTGGGATTGATTTTATATAGATCCATACCAAGTTCCAGTACTCTACCATGAACATCTCTGGAAGTGTGTATGCAGTATGAAAAATTCGCATAGAATGGGAGGTGCCACGCCTCCTTTCCAATAACTCCCATTTTTTCCATGAGTATGCAACTGATTTCATATATCGCAAACCTAGGTAGATCTAAAGTGAGCTAACTCAAAAATCAGAACGGTCAATATAATATATTGTAGATCGCAATTAATAGAAACACTGGTACAAGAGTAGTTTTGATTTAGTGAAAATATATAATCATGCAGAAAAAATGTATACATTAATTGGAGTTTGTGCAAATAAATCGTCCTAATTTTTTTTTTTTTGAGTTGATCGCACTTTAGATCTAGGTGTACGACATCTCCATACCAAGCTTCAGTACTCAACAAAGTCGATAACAAAATCGATAAAAATATCGATAACAAAATCGATAAAAATATTAATCACAAAATTGATCAAAAAACCGATGAAATATCGATAACAAAATCGATAAGACTAACGATAAATCGATAACAATAAAAATACATAACAAATTCGATAAAAACAAAAATGGTAACGGTATCGATTACAATATCGATAAAAATATCTATAACAAAATCGTTAAAAATATCAATTTCAAAATCGAAATAAATATCGATAAAAATTTCAGTATCAAAATCGATAACAAAACCGATAAAAATATCGATAAATTCCGAAAGTCTCTTAAATCCGAAATAGTTCCCAGATTGGCTCTGTGTCTCTATCTATATCCTTTTCTCTATAATTACCCTAATTATAATCTTTCTTCCTCTATTTTCATCATTTCTTTTATCGGTATCCTCATTCTCATATTTTTCTTTATATTTATCTATGTTTTTACTTTTTTTTGTATTTATAATTTTCTTCATCTAAATATTCCCCTTCACCTTTGCCCTTATATGAGTAAAGTGTTTAAAGTTATTTTGATCTTCATTCTTGCATTTATCTTTACGCATATCTTTGTTTTTATTTTTATTTTTTTTACCTTTGCCTTTATCCTTTTCTTTAGCTATGTACGCACTCACCTTTACTTTCATTCTTGTATTGGTCTTTTTCTAAGTGTTATTCTTTAACCTTTTACTGGCAAGTTTTTGTTAAATTCATACCATGTGCATACACTCAAGAAACACTTGTTTCAGCCCCAACTATTTCCGTTGCACCATTTTCGTGTGCGATTTCCGTTGAATTTGCCAATTTACTCCTAACCAACCAAACCCCGCTAAAGAAGTTTCACTTCAAAAATTTTATACAAATAGGTCACAAATAAGTTTTTTAACAAATAATTAAGTGGCTGACTTCGTTGCACAACTACCAAATAAATAAATGAATGTAACCTGGCTGTTCCAATGCCACACCAGAGTTTATTAATCTATGAGAATGGTTTTGTAGAAACTATCGAATCTATTTTGAAATTGTCTTGAATGATATGGAAGAAAAAACAATGATGCAGAAAGGCCAGAAAAGAAAACAACATGGTACTTTTGATGAACTAATGCATAATTTAAGTTAATAAACTTAAGTGTTTTTTGCAGTAAAGTTCAATAAAAATTATTTGCGATGATAAAACGAAGACTTTCAGACAAAATTTTTTTCTGTTAGAAATTTTAGGGATACTCGAGTTATATATTTTAATCCTATATATTTTAATCCTTCCAAATCAGAATAGAAATTAAATAGCAAAAAACTGGATGAGCAAAGCCAGCCTTTGAGATAAACCGTACCCAACCGCACCGTACGGGTGCCAGTACCCAAATTGCGTGAGAAAAAATTGTCACTGTGTATTGGACAGCTGAACTACAACCGAACTACGAGTTCTTTTGTGTTTCTTTTAATTTTTTTATGAAACGTTCATTCTCGGTTTTTCTATTTATTCCGAAGTGGCGACTTACCATAAAATCGAGTACGTGCCGGGCCTTCGAAATCAATTTTAGGAAATCTGCAATAAACGAAAAAGGAAGCATATGAAAAAATGTGTGCAAATGACTCGTGGTTTTAACAAATAAATGCGTCAACCATACTACAATAATTAAATTAAATTTTAAATTTGTAACATAATTTAATTAAGTTTGAATTTTAGTAATTGTAAAGTGGTATACATATGCACAGGCACTTACATATGCATATGTATACAATACAATCAAGTTTTTACCAAGAAAAAAACAAAAATAAAAATTTGGTTTTGTTTTAGTGGAGCAACGCTCGTGCAAAATTGCAATTAATTTTAAAGTTAATTGTGCGTGCGGCAGACAACCTACTAAGTGGCAAAACAACACATCTCAATTTATGGCTTTGAAGAAAGAAATACATACATATAACAGTGAAGCGAAAATAGGTACCTATGCAAGTATTTGTAGTAGAAAATTTTGAGTCAGAGTAGAGTGAAAGAGACATAATTTATAACTTAAAGGCATCTGAGGAGGTAAGTGCCAGTGCAAAAGTGAATGCAACACTTGCGGCTTTCGTGGTTAACGCTACGAATATACTAATTATCAGAAAGATATGTGTGTAGCAATCGGTGTACGAAAGTGCAGAAATCGCAGCTTGGCTAGACGCAGAAAACCCCCTTTTTTTGCGCATACATATATACATACCTAAGTAGTTTTTAAAAAATATGTATCTTTGTATTAGTGAGTCAAAACATAGTAACGCACAATGTATACACATTAGTTACAATGCCTCTAGCTAACTTGCAACATTCTTGCCTACTGACCGCCAACGCACATCACTCCCATCTGTGCGCCATCAACCACCACCTACAAATGCCAGCGCACAGTGGTCCAAAACAAGAATTTGCTCTTCAAAATTGTGCCGAGTATTCATTTGTGAATCGATTGGATATTTTTTTTTGTTTTTTTTTGTATGAAAGCTAATAATATTTAAAAGAGGCCTGTTGAACCCGATTTTAGAATTTTTATTTTTACATATTTTGAAGAAAATACTAAAACTAGTTGAAAACAATTGTAGATATCTTCAAAATTTAAAAAAAAAATCTCAAGTAAGATTCGAACTGTAAAAAACTTTTCGCCAAAAATTTTTTTTATTTTTTAAGTTCTATACAATTTTCAGGTATACAGTTTTTTAGCTCATTAAATTTTAGTATGATGATTTCCCTGAAACGAAAATTAAAAAAAATTACCAATATTGCAATTTTGTAGAATTTTAAGAAAAACTTTAGTTATGTAGTCTTATAGCCCATTAAATTTTAGCGCAATAAAGTACAAATTTCAAGTGGCTTAGAATTCGCGTTGATTTTTATACCCGAGCGCACTTTTGCACTAGGGTATTATAACTTTGTTCACATAACGGTTGTTTGTAACAGGCAAAACGAATCGAGNCAATTTGTACCAAACTCGGTGTGGTTATTGTGCTTGCCACATATAAGCAAACCGTTGAAAATTATTGAAATCGGACTAAAATAACGGCCGCTTCTCATATAACGGTAAATTTCAGAACTGCTTGAAACTTCAAAATCGAAATTTAAGGACTCTAATTTACTCAAAATTGATACGCCCCGGCTTACCATGTAGCCGTAGCTTTCGGTAAGGTGAAAAACATATATTTAATACGTGCGCCGGGTATTTAATGTTCGACTCCGCCCGAACTTAGACTTTCTTACTTGTTAATATTTATTTTGTGCCGGTGCTAGGCATTTTCTTCTGTATAGGCATAAACTGGGATGAAAATATGTATTAAAAATCAACACAAATTTCTAGCCGCTTGAGACTTGCATTTTAAAATATTATAAAACTGCATACTTAAAATTTTTTTATAATTCTGCAAAAAAATTTGTTTTCGAAACTAAACTTTTACTTTTTAATTTGTTTTCCTTTCATCAAAATCCAAACTACATATAATTGTTTTCAACGAGTTTTGATTACGTATTATTTATTCAAAGGAACGGAAAAATTGCCACTTTCTCTGAAAATTCAAAAAATCGGACTCAACAGTTCGCTTTTAACTATTATTAGCTTACATTTAAAATTAAAAAGAAAAATTATCGAACTCGAATGAAAAATTAAGTCTCTGGCCTATTTGGCACAGCAAAATCCAATTTAGGACCACTGTGCCGCGATATATGTATGTAAGCTACGCTTCATGTAGCATGCAGAGTGAACTTTGCTACACACCTACCATGAATCTGTGATTTGTTGCTTGTTTTGTGCTTGTCTATAGTATTGCAAAACAAATATCAGTTGGTTAATAAATGGTATATGTTGTTGTTGTTGTTGTGGTGGCTCTGCGAATTGCAGTTTGCAGAAATTCTTGATTTATTGCACTTGTACGCGATTTATTAGAGCAGAAAGAAGCGGCTAGCTGCGTGAGGCATGCACAACACCACAGTGGCTAATATCAGTATGTATGTATCTATGCATGGTGGTTTTGTGGTTGCATTGCAGCGTATTTTCAAGTAGGTGGACATGGTTTTTGATCGCTAAAATATTTCATTACATCTGCGGCACTATAGAAAAGCCTTCGAAGCAATAAAAGTTTAGCGTTTGCAGTAGCAATGAATTGGTGGTATGAATTGCAATTTTATTTGAGTAAAATTTTTTTTTTTGAAAAGAAGCTGGCAAAATCAATGTCAACTTGTTGTTATCAACAACATTATGCGAAGGTTAGACAAATTTTTTTGCTAACCAGCCAAGGAAACTTCGAAGGCGATGGTAAGTAAATAATCTGATTTGTCAATGCTTCCTTTCATTGGTTAAGTTATTAGCTGCAAGCTGTTTTTGAATACTTTAAATTTTTTATTCTAAATTAGATATTGAAAAAATGTCTCCTCATTGAACAAATGCATAGAACCATTTACCAACAGAAAATTGTATAATAAGTATTTTTCAGTACATATGTATGTACAGCGACCCACAATCAAAATAACACCGTGACATTTTCACAATATTCGCATTGTTTTTTCATTGAGAAACTTTTTTCATTACTAGTTTATAAAAGTATAAATCTAAATTGCAAAAATTTGTGGAAAAATTAGAAAAAGTCGACAAAGTTTAATCAAAACTGCCAACTTTTTCATAAGAATTTCTAAAAAAAATATTGGTAGGCAGATTTGTAGCCTATTAAATTTTAAAGTAATTGATTACAAGTTCGAAGTCGCTGAAAATGTCCGTTGAATTCTGACCACTTTTTTGCTGACCGGTCTATATTTTTTCATCGTCAGCAAAAAAAAAAAAATATATCAAAAATCAACGGAATTGTTTAGCGACTTCGAACTTGACTATAAATCGGCATGCCAAAATTTTGTCTACAGACTCTAATTCAGTCGCGGTAGATGTTTGCCGCTAAAATAGGTTAAGAGAAAATGGAGATGCCATACTAGATGTCGGCTAAAAAAAAACAAATACTCGTTATATCGATACTGACTTCGATATATTTGCAGCTATTACCATAGATAAATTTATAATGATAAAAATTTACTATAATAGGATCGTAAAAAACGTTTGTGGAGAAGTAAATGGGAATAACTATTATTGCTCATGTGTGTTTTTGTATACTGCACTTCAACTCTTAAATTGAACTACATTACTTCAACTTACTGATCTACATAATCATCGAAGCAAATTAATATTTTAGTTGAGCTTATTAATAGTTTTAGTCTAGTTTTTGCATTTAATGTAGCTGACATAAATTATTATGTCTGGAAACATAAGCCCCCAGTGAAGAAAAACATTAAACCAACACTTTTTGTGCAATATTTTACCGCCTAAATAAATTGCAAGTAAGTACTCCTTTCAAATCTTGCCTAAGGCTCTGTGCCAATATCTCAGCTCAGCAGATTACAAACTTGTGATTAGCAAAGCGATCGAGTACCTAACATTTAAACAAATAGCAATACATAGTGTGTGCATACGTACATACATACGTATGTCTGCTTGCCGTCGTGACTTTGCTACATGAAAAATGCGCAACTTATTTCGAAAGTTCAAGCAAATACCTGCAATTATTTTGTGTTTGCAATTGATCTCAACATTTGGTGTAAATGTTGACCGAAAACACGTAAATCTACCCGTAAATAAACTGGCCGAAATTCCTCTAAGGCTAGACGATTGCAGAAATAACAGCAAGTGCGTTTATTGCGTAAATATGTATATGTACTCGTACGCAGGTANGAAATTCCTCTAAGGCTAGACGATTGCAGAAATAACAGCAAGTGCGTTTAAATTCGAAATTATTTATCCTTGTACGCAGGTGNATTCCTCTAAGGCTAGACGATTGCAGAAATAACAGCAAGTGCGTTTATTGCGTAAATATGTATATGTACTCGTACGCAGGTATAAAATGTACAGCTTTCGATTTGGGCAATGTGTGCTACATTTATAAAATGTGATGCATAGTTATGTGCTCGCAAAAAAAAGTGAATGTACCAAAATAAGATGGCAATCCATACAAATCCAGCATTGAATTTTAGGGTTTTCAATGAAAAATAATATAAAGCTTTTATTTAATAGGTTTCGAATGTGAAATACTAAGTGATAAATGACAACGAATAAAAGCTAAACAATTTAATATTGGTAAATAAATTTCAAAGCGNGTGTGCTACATTTATAAAATGTGATGCATAGTTATGTGCTCGCAAAAAAAGTGAATGTACCAAAACAAGATGGCAATCCATACAAATCCAGCATTGAATTTTAGGGTTTTCAATGAAAAATAATATAAAGCTTTTATTGAATAGGTTTCGAATGTGAAATACTAAGTGATAAATGACAACGAATAAAAGCAAGAGCAAACAATTTAATATTGGTAAATCAATTTCAAAGCACCATATCAGAGAACGTTTATAACGTTATAAACGTTCTCTGACCATATACTAGTATATATAAAAGTCTTTATCTGTGACGACTGAGAGCTGAACAATTTTTTTCACCTCCCGTGGCGTTGTTGTCTATGTTGCTTATAGAATTGTATTTTAGAATGTTTGCA